CCGTAAAGATTTATAGCCTCAGAAACCCTGTCCAGGGTCACTATGAATTGGAACCAACGCCACGGCACACCACCACCACCACATATAGTGGATCTAATTTGCTAATGCTTTGTTTGTTAGTATATGTCTACCTTCATGAGAACAATTAATTGGTATTTTTCTTATAATGTCTTTGATTTTGATATTGAAGTAATTATGATCGCATATAATGATTTGTGAAATGTTCTCCCCTCTACTTTTGGAAAAATTTGTGTGGAATTAGTATTGTAACATTTTAATCATTTTTACTTTTAACTTATCTGAAGCTTTACATTTCAAAGGCATTTTCTACATATGGCTTATGATTGGATCTTATTTTTAATCTAGTCTGACAATTTCTACTTCCTAATTGGAGTATTCATATTATTTGCATTTAATGAAATGATCATCTTGGTTGAGTCTACTATCTTTCTAGTTATTTTTCATTTGCTCCAGTTGTTCTTTTTTCCTTCCGTTTTGGAATGGAATTTTTTAGGATTCTACTGTATTTCTTCTGTTGACTTACTGGACTCCTGGTGTGGTGCTATAGGGTCAGCACTGGACTGTGAACCACAAGATTTGCAGTTCAAACCTACCAGCCATTCCTCGGAAACCCTATACAGTATCACTATGAGTCGAAACCAACTCGACAACTCTTCACAACAACAACATTGGCTTATTAGTTTCACCTTCTATTTGCCTTAGCAATTGCTCCGGTTTACAATATGCAACTTTAACTTATTAGAACCTGCCTTCAAATAACATTAAACTATTTCATAAAGTGACATCCTTACACCATATTCTTACATTAACCCCTATTATAGTATGTATGACCCCTGGTATGGCGCTATAGGACAAACACTGGACTGATGACCGCAAGGTTGAAGGTTCAAACCCACCAACTGCTCTAAGAACCTCTATGTAGTGTTGTAGAGTTAGAACCGACTTGACAGCACACAACAACAATCCTATGCGTTGGTGTTGCCACACCTTGTATATTTGTGTGGGCTATACATATTGTTGTTGTCAAGTGCTGTCAAGTCGGTTTTGATTCGTAGCAACCCTATATAGGGTTTTCAAGGAGCAGCTGGTGAATTTGAACTGCCGACCTTGTTCAAACTGACCTTGTAGTCAAGTGCTTATCTTACAGTGCCACACCAGGGCTCGTTCTGACTCATAGCAACACTGTATAGGATTTCCAAGGAGTGGCTGGTAGCTTTGAACCACTAGCCGTGCAGTTAACAGTCCAGTGCCTACTCTACAGTGCCACACAGGCATAATGTATCTTTATTATTTTCTTACTTTAAACAGTAAGTTATAGATTAAAATATGGAGTTGAAAAGACTTTATATTTACCCACAGGAACATGGTGGCTCTGTAGGATAAGTACTGGTTGATAGTTCAAGTCCACCAGCCACTCCTTAGGAGAAAGATGAGGATTTCTATTCCCACAAAAATTTACAGCATCAGAAACCCTATACAGGATCAGTATGCGTTGGAATAGACTTGACAACACTTAACAACAGCGATAGTAATATGTACCCACAGATTTAATCATTTATATCATATTTCATTTCTTCTTATAGATTAAAGTTTCCATCTGTTGTCTTTTTCTTTTCACTGGGAGAATTTGATTTAACATTTCTTGTAATAATAGTAAGTCAGCTGGCAATAAATAGTCTCAGTTTTAATTTTCCCAAAAAAGTATTTTTTTTTATCATTTTTGAATGATGTTTTGTAAAAAAGAATTCCAAGTCCACTTTTTCCCTTGATTCACTTTAATGATATTGTTCCATTGTCTTTTACCACAAATTGTTTCTGACAAATAGTCTGAGATATTTTTTCCCTGTTTTCCTTTTATGTAATGTGTCTCTTTTTTCTCTCTTTCTGCTTTTAAGATTTTAATCACTAGTTTTAGCAATATGATTATTATGAGTCTTGGTGTGATTTGCTTTGTGCTTACCCTGCTTGGGGTCATTGCCCTTCTTTTAACTATGGATTTATTGTTTTAATTAAATTTGTAATATTTTTGACCATTTTTCATAGATTTTTCTTTCTGTTTGTTTCTCTCGCTTCTTCTGGGACTCCAATTACATGCATATTTGTCTGCTGGGTAATGTGGCACAAGTAGCTGAGGTTTTAGTCCTTTTACTGTGCTTCATTTTGCAGTTCCCATTGCTTTGTCTTCAGGTTTGCTGTTCTTCTGAAAGACGTCTTAACATGCTACTATTTTTCAGCAAATTTTTCATATTAAATGTTATATTTTTCAATTCTGATAGTGTCATTTGCATTTTATAACGATAGACCTTCTATTCATCTTTCTATTAAGCTGACATTTTTGTTTAACTCCTCAAGCTTATTAACTACAGCTGCTTTAAAGTTGTTGCCTATCAATTTTATCCCCTGTGTCATTACATGGTCAGTCATTGCCATTCATAATCTTGTGGCTGTTTCTGACTTAACTTTTCTCCTCATTATGGATTATAATTGCTGCTTCTTTGCATGTTTGGTACTTTTTTTTAAAACCAGATACTCATCATTATGATTGTTATTTATATTGCTGGGTGTTTGAATTTTGCTGTCATCAAATAAGAATCTATATGAGGCAATATGACTGGAAAGAAATGGGCATATGGAAGAGACATTTACAGAATAAAATGTTAGGGAGAGATTGTCATGCTTGGATAATCAGGATAGTAATACATAGTACCTGATTAGAAATATGGAAGAAAATAAAAGGAACTTGTTTGAAGGATATCTAGTTCAATCTACTAAAAGATTGTAAGGAATTGGTAGCCTTAGAATTTCACAGAATTTCATTAGCACTTATTAAAAGAAAATTTTTAGAGAATAATAGCTCTTTTAATGAATGTCAGTTTTGTTTTCATTTCCATTACACACTTTGAATGCCTATTAATCTGTGTTTTACTCTACCTGTATTTATAGTACTGTAGAGAATAAAAGGGACCCCATCTTCAAATATATAAATATTATAGAGACTCTATTAAGTCTTAAAGGAGCTCTGATAGCGTAGTGGTTATGAATCAGGCTGCGAACCGCAAGGTCAGCTGTTTGAAACTACCAGCTGCTCCGCGGGAGAAAGATGAGACATTCTGCTCCCATAATGATTAATAGCCTTGGAAACCCTGTGCAGGGTCGCTTTGAGTTGGAACCGACTCCACGCCACATAACATAATTAAGTCTTAAACAGGAATAAGCACAAGACAAAGACAAACATGTGTCACCCGGGTATGGAAAATCATAGACACCATGATGAGTTTCCAAAGTTCCCCTCCACATGGTTGCCTTTTATAGGCACAGAACACAAAGGACTCTCTTCCCATAACCACACCTGATGGCAACAGTGCACCACATGCTCATGTCAGGCCTACAGAAATCAGGGAGTTGACTATTACAGATAAAAATGCTTAGAGTTTCTGAGGATCTTGGAATATGACATCACAACCAGGCAACCATTAAGGGGCATGCCCAGGAAAGTTTTCTGGGGTCAGCTGGAGGAAGTGACCCCAAACTCAGTTTTCAATATACTCTGCTTCTAACACTGGCAGTTTGTCTGTCCAAGATGATTGAGGTACTCAAGAACAATTGGTATCTGAACACTTAAACCTAGGCGTATGATAGCATTTAAGCTCTGCCAGGCTGGAATCATCTGCAGGGAAAAAGCCTTCCGATTTTATGCTCTACAGCACTAGTCAGCTTCTCTTCCTGCAGATATGACAGTCTGTATGTGATGTATTTGTGGCAGTAATGTTTAAATAATCACATAGAATTTGCAGTAATGGAATTTGTATTTTTAGAACTCATGTCTGGATCATTTCAGGATTGAGAGTTCCTTTAGAGCTGTATATTTAAGGTTTTGAATGTACCTTAGCTCTGGTCCTTTCTGGATATGAAGCCAGTGCTTATCCTTCTGGGTAAATAAGAATGTCTGATACTGCCATCTTCCTTGTATTTGACTTCTTAAATTGTCTTTGATAAGTTAAGGTAAAAATAGTTAAAAACTACTTTTTAAAATTTTGATTCTCCAAAATATAATTTTGTTATTTACCAGAGACAACACATGTTTCTTTTACCTCCCACAAGATCTCTTTAAAAATTGAGAGGGTTGGTATGACATCCTGTATTTTTCCTATTTTAAGTCCTGGTATTTTAAACATGTTAAAAGGGGTAACTCTCCTTTTGTAAACTGCTAAATTTGGGAGGTGTTGAATGATGGTCAGGACAGGAAGCCAGGAGCAAACACATAAAAGTCAGAACAGCCCATGTGAAAGCTGAGAGATGTAGAGGGGAAATTGTTGCAGGTATGATAGCAGTGGTGAAAAGGTATTCAGTGAGTACCTGTGCCAAGTATTACTCTAGGTGCTTTAATATTTCATCATTTCTCACTACTGCTTTATGAAGGTAGGTGATTCTCTGTTTTACGAGTAAAGCATATTAAGCCTCAGAAATGAAGAGTTATGGTTCTAACACCCTATAACTAATGAGTAGAAGAATCAGGTTTAGAAGCCGATGCTAAACTCTTTCCAGTATTAAGGATGAAAAATTAGGAAAGTAAATAGAAGTTGTACATGAAGGAATTGGAAAGTGTGTAGGACTAATGTAATATATTAGAGGCATGATATGTTAAATCTTGCTGTCTAGGACAAATGGTCAGTCTTTCTGCTGTAAGCATATGGGAGATAGTAGCAGGAGACAGTCTAGTGATCTCCTGCAAGTCACTTATCTATTATGGGGAAACAACAACATTTAATTTTATCCTTTCTAACCTGGCTGTTTTCTGCTAGTTGTTTTTGTATTGTTCTTTTTTGTTTCTTGAATCATATAAGCTATTTGAAATCAAACCTCTCATAAATAGCAAAAAGTAGATTCATAAAAAGGAAACAAAAAATTTGTGCAAATTAATTTTAAACTTCAAAAAGTTGCACTCACTAAGCAACATTTTTAGGTAGAGTGTAATTACAACTTGTAAGTTTTGTTTTTAGAAGTCTTCATATTGAAGAAAGTTAGGCAGAGATCAACTGTCATACCATAATATATTCATAAAAATTAATAGAGAAATGATCTTGCATGATTTTTATTTAGTTGACTTTTTCTTTTTACAAACTGAATTTCATGAATTTTCTTTGTAGTCTAGTAAATTCTTTTACATGTAATCTCCTCTTTAGATGTCTGCTCCAATGAGGATCTCCCTGAAGTTGAGCTGGTGAGTCTGCTAGAAGAACAGCTACCCCAGTATAAGCTAAGAGTAGACTCTCTCTTTTTATATGAAAACCAAGACTGGACTCAGACCCCACACCAGCATCAACATGCCTCTGATGCCCTCTCTCCAGTCCTTGCTGAAGAGACTTTCCGTTATATGAGTGAGTATTTTTGGTCCTTTTAGTTTGTTGTTTGAAGTAAAGATGGCGGGCATCTTGGTATTACCTTTTAAAAATACATGTGGTAACCACTGCTCAACATGCATCTACTTTAACTTGAATTGATTAAATAATATAGAGGTGATTTTAACAGTTAAGTGTGAGTGTACAAAGTTTGTTGTTCTTTTGACTCTGAGTGTCCAGAGTTGCAAGCATACTCTGGTGTTTCCATTTCTGCCATCTTTTATGTGATATTTTCCATATACTGAGTAGAAAGAGAAACTTTTAAAAAGTAAGACAATTATTTAAAGTTTTAATATTCCTTTGTAACATTTATTATCCCAGTAGTTTGGTATCCTAACCTATCAACTTTTTTGAACAATGGGATACTGCGTGGTTTAAAACCCAAAAAGGTGTGTGTCAGGATTGTAAACTTTTACCATACTTACTTTGAGCAAAGAATCCAAGAATATGGACTATATGAAGAATAACGTAGTTTGGATACATAGAGATTGTGTGGTTTCCAAAACTAGTAATAAATATATGTTATTTGTGCCAAAAAATACAATATTTGTTTTAGAATCTGTAGATCCTTTTTTTTTTTTTAATGTTTTATTGTGAATTATGTGATAGCCTACATGGGAGAACATTAGTTTTACATTCATTCTATCGTATATCGTCTCATTGCCATGGTTACAATCCCCTCCATGCATCATCAACCAACCAAAGGGTATACCCTGCAATCCTTCCCCTGTACCCCCCAGGTCTTCAGCACACAGTCGCTCTCCCTCTCTGGATCTAAAGTTTCCAGCTGCTCCATCGCTCCACGTCATCATCTCTGGCTCCATTTCAGGCATCACTGCTTCTCTGGGTAGGGTCCCACTCTCTGCTCTTCTTCCTTGATGGTCCTAGGGACCTCTGCTCCTACACTGAAAAGTTAACCACTCCTCTCCATGCTATAAAACATGTACCTTTACATTTCCGACCCTAACAATCAGTCCTGATAACAATTATTCACTATTGTATCACAAGAGACTCGTCTGCATTTCATTGCATCAGCCCCGCCTAGACAGATTGAATACTACTCACTGTAGATTCTACCTTCCTCCAGGCCCTCTGGATTTAGGTTCCCTCATGAAAGCTTGTAAGCCAGTCACTTCTTGCCTTTGTAGCCTCCCACCCCCCATTTTGGGTAGCCAATGTCCAAGTTGCCCATCCCTGTCTACTCTGTGTGTGGATGGGGTGGGAATGATTCTTGTTGTAAGGACTTGTTCCCTCTTTTGGGCTACTGCTTCCATAGGTGTAGGTCAAGTTCATCAAATTGTATGAAAATACTTTTTTTTTTTCCTCTTCTTTTTACTTCTGGTTGAGCTCTGATCATCCAGTCACTGAAGCCAGGATAAGTGGGTATTATCTGCAAGTGTGGGTGTTCTTATGCATATGCCCTCTCTTCTTATCAGCTGGATGCTTCACTCTCCACTCTGGTCCTCTGTGTGGCTATGTCACTGACTCTGGGCCCAAGAGTCCCCAGGTCTTGCCACACTGCTGGTCAACCAGGGCTTCAGCCGGGTTCACAGAAGTCTATTGAATGTTGTAGGGCTTAGCTCACCACTTCATTGCTGTTTTCCCCTTATCATTGTTGAGCGTGGTCACCAATCAGAGCGTGTATTCCCATTGAGTCTTAGTCTTGGAAGGGGGTTTGCATTGAGGGGACCCGACCACTTGCCTTGATGTTTCCTGGGCAAGCAAGTTGCTTGTTCTTGTAGTAACAGTCGGTCTGCCTATGTTGTTTTATATTTTTCCTGTAGGTCTTTCTTTCAAGAAGTATCTTCTGTTCTTCCAGCTACTCCAGGCTGGTCTGCTTGTCCTTTCAAGTGGGAATTTCCCATCTCTGGAAATCTGGATGTGGTTCAGGCTTCCTATAGTCTTATGTATTGCAGAGGCTACGCAGGAAGCTTCCTTCACTGGGCACGTTGTAGCCCCATTTTAGGTATTCCAATCAGTTATAGGCTTATAAGCTTTCTATGGTGATGCTTTTCACTATTCTTTCTCTTCTCCTCCAGTGTCTATTTTATAATATAATGCAAGGAAGACCAAGTAGAATCTGTAGATTCTTAACTTGAGTTTCAGTGAGAGACTGAGCCAGATTTGTCCTGAAAATAGGTCTGTTTACACCAAGCTCTTACAAATTATAAAGTTAAATAGAATAGTTTGAAAACATAAGTAAAGAAACCTAATGTATCTGATCTCTCAATCCAAAACTCTACAGTTAAAGCTAAGCTTACTTTTTTCATCTGCTGTAAAAGTGTTGTATGCGTAGTAGCTGTTAGACTATATCATAGTCTCTAAGTTCAGCGTAGATGTGTTACGAATTTATTTGAATATGGAATCTGATACAGTATTGTGTCAGGTCTGACACATTTTCCCAGTGAGTCCTCCAGTGTTTTCAGTTCCACATTGTAGAGAATGATTATTGTAATACTTATTTTCATGTAGTTATTTAAAGTGCCATCAAGTTGGTTCCTACTCATAGTAACCCCGTATAGGGTTTCTGAAGAGCAGCTGTTGGGTTTGAACCACTGACCTTTCAGTTACCAGTCTAGGCCTTACCTAACAGCTTCACGCCAGGACTCCCTAGTTTCATGGTAGTTATGATGTTGCTTTAGACCCAAATTACTTACTACCCAGGAAAAAATTGTCAGCATAGTTAATTTTTAAATTGCAACATCAAGGAAAGTCCAAATAAAATTATATTTCTATTCTTAATATTTATCTTAAGAAGCTGAATATTAAGTTAAAGCTTGTAAGGTTTTCTTAACTTGCTAATGTGAGAGGTTGCTTGCTTGAGATTTTCTAGAAAGTGTTTTTTAGAAGGAATGCTATTTTTGTTATTTAAAAAATTTTTGTTCCATGAGTTTTTTAATACATGAGAGAAAAATTTCAAATTGAAATTTTATTGGTATGAATTTAGCTTTTATTTTGGTAAGGTGACAGAAGGGGCCCCATAGTTTACTTGTGCTTTGTCCGATAGACTACTATGAGATGTAATTGTAGCTAGAAAGTTTAATGAAGTTACTTTTAAGATGAGTTTTAAATGTAGAGATTAGAAAATAAAAGGAAAGCAAATTCCAGAAGCTACTTCATATGAAAATCATTACTTTTGGTTGGAAGTTACACTTTTCTTTAAGCACTGGTTCGCAAAAGGCATTGATTTTTATTGGCAAGAAAGGAAATATTTAGGAAGCATTAACCAAGGAGCCTTTGTTGTTGTTAAGTGCTATTGAGTCAATTCCAACTCAAGTGATGCTGTCTAGGGTTTCCCAGGAGTAGCTGGTGGGTTTGAACCACCAACCTTGTGGTTCAGTGCATTATCCTGCAGTGCTACACCAGGTTCCACAAAGGAGCCCTAGTGGCATAGAAAGTCAGTGCTGACTCACAGCAACCTTGTATAGGGTTTCCAAGGAGCAGCTTGTGGGTTTGAACCACTGACCTTATAGTTAGCAGTCCAGTGCTTATCTACAGAGCCACAGCAGGACTGCAGAGATCACAGCCATGGAAACCCTATGGGACAGTTCTACTCTGTCTTACAGGGTTGCTACATATGAGACAGAACCAATTCTGTAACAGAAAGTTTTGCTGTATTTTTTAGCCATAAACTGTGTCTTAGAACAGTGACTCCTGGTGTGGCACTGAGGATAAGGACTGGACTGTGAACCACAAGGTCAGTGGTTCACACCCACTAGGTCAGTGGTTCAGAAACTATACAGGATCGCTGTGAGTTGGAATCGACTCTGTGGAACTTAACAACAACAACAGAGATTAACAGATGTATGAGTCTAGATCAGCCCTTCTCCGCTAGTTCCAAGTAAAATTAAGCCATAATGGTGTAAAGCATCTGCTATATAATGGATTACCATTTCAACTATGTATGCTTCATGTACTAGCTTTGTGCTGTCCTTTGGAGGAGGGAGAAAATTGTCAATCAGTCCATTATCTGTGGGCCATATTCTCTCCTGGACCTAGTTAAGAAAAGCTACCTGCCCTACATGGTATCACCCACCAGTCTCCTTTTTGTTCTGTTTGAGGTTTTTTGAAGGCAATATTTTTTGTATTGTGGAAATGTTGTCTGTCTTATAGCTGCAAGTGCTGCAGTCACGTCTTCAGAGTTGATAAGAGGTTGTATTTTTGTTTTATTTATTTATATTTTAGAAATTTTTCTCATGGAAGATAGAATTGGAGAGTGATGAAAGGTCAGAAGGTAGTCTTTTAAAATCCAGTAATTTGGGTGGAAAACTGTACATCTTGAAAAGGAATATAAAAGAGAATAGCTATTGACCACCATCTCATATACAGAGGGCTTCAAAAGTTGGTGAACATTTTCCATTATCTTCTCATTCAATTTTTCCACAAGCATTGTGAACCTACTCATATTAATGTTGTTATTGGTAGGTGCCTTCGAGTCAGTACCGACTCATAGCAACTCTGTGTACAACAGAACAAAACACTGCTTGGTCCTTGGCCAACCTCATATTTGTTGCTACACCTGAGCCCATTGCTGCCGGGCCATCTCCCTGGGGGTCTTCCCCTTTTCCTCCCATCCTCCACTTTCCCAAACAAGATATCCTTCTCCAGTGAGTGACTGGTTCCTGCTGATAATATGTCCCAAGTATGAGAGATGAACTCTGAGCATCCTAGCTTCCGAGAAGATTCTGGATGTATTTCTTCCATCACAGATCTGTTTGCTCTTTTGGCAGTCCATGGTACTTTCAATATTCTCCTCCCGCACAATTATTCTGTGGTTTTCCTTCTTCACTGTCCAACTTTTGCATGCATATGAGGTTGTTGAAAATACCATGGCTTTGGTCAGATGCACCTTAGTCCTCAAGCTGACATCTTTTCTCTTCAACACTTTAAAGAGGTCTTGTGCAGCAGATTTCCCCAATGTAATAATGTTGTTTGATTTCTTGACGGCTGCTTCCATGCGTGTTGATCGTTGATCCGAG